TCCTTTTCAAAGAACAAAAATCTGGCAACTTGGTTCTGAAATAATCGTGAAAGAATATGATTCACACTCTAAAAGCAACTTCAAAAAACAGCTTCTAAATGGATGATTCATTTTTGAAGCAATAAAGTTAAAGTTGAAACAGAAGGCTAATATACAGCTGTTGCAAATATTAGTTTAAAATAGAGTTGGATCTTATATCTCTCATCCTATCCCTGGATGCCTACCTACAATTCAACCTACCATCCCAGAACAGAGGTCTATATTGTGTAAAGATATTCTGAGCACTTAATCATGTTCTGGACAACGTTCAACTCAGAGAATTTCATTTCACTGGAAGAAGATGACTTAAGTTTTTTGGTATTTCACAGGTTGATTCCACTCTCCCTTCTTACCATATGCTTAGAACTGTAACTTGATGATGAAAATTATGAGTAGATTTATTCATGCTCACAAAAATACACATTGCCTTGTTGAATACTACATTTTCACAAGCTTTAAAAGCATTGATTTTTGCTTAAGAATTAAAATAATTTTTCCCATGAAGTATACTAGAAAATTCTGCCATAATTCTAGACTTTTACAGATATATAGTCACCAGCCTCTTTCCTCTAGTTCTCTCTGACCATATTCTTAAATGGGATTATATAATTAGGGGAAAGGGATGTTGACTTTGCATAGCTGTTCCTTTAAGTGTGTTGGTAACTGCTCTTCTTAAAAGGAAACAGTTCCTGTAACATTTTAAGAATCTGCTGCTATTTGCTTTTCCATGAAAGATAAAATAGCATAATAGAAAAAATTTTAAAAATATATTAGAAGACTTACAATTTTATTCTTGACAATGCTTTTTAACATGGCTTAGCTGTACTAACTTAAAGTGCTTAAATATGCAGAAACATCATTGTGAGTTACACCTCAATCACCCATTTCATAAAAGTAATTTCTTTCATATCTTAAATCGATGCTTTTCATTTTATTTGCTTTTTATGGAAGAGTTTTAGACCTTTAGATTTATTGATGTTTATCTTTTTCTTGGTATACTGTGGTCTTTCTTTTAGTTTCAAATAAATTTAAAATATTTCCCAATAAAACCATCTCACCAAATGACAAAGTATGGTCTTGGAAGAGAAATTTAATTTTAACTACCTTCCATTTCATTTGGAAACTTTTAAAATTGGTCATTGAAGTCTGTCTTCATGTCATCTGGTATAAAGGAAAAAGTTTCTACAGTTTGTATCTATGCTCATACCTGCCTCAAAAATTAAGTTGAATCTGCAATAGACACTAAGGATAGAAAAAAACAGACCTTCATCAATAAGTGGAAGCGATCATTTTTTTCTCATATTTAAAAAGCACAGTCAATGTAATCATGGTTGATTATAGACTCAAGAGTTAACTATATGAAATCATTATGCTCAGTAGAATATTTTTACTCCACTTTTATTTTTCAGACATTTGAAAATTAATCCAATACTTTTTGTATTAATTCCACTAATTTGCCTCATATATTTTTGAATCTATATTACCCAGAGGCAGCGCATGCAGCCTTAACTCTGTGCACTTAACACGCTATGCAACAATTCCACCTAATCTCTAATGGGTGCTGCCAAATTAGTGCTTCTGAAATTGTCTTTTGGATACTACCAAGGTAACCTAAGTCCCACTTGATATATGTTCTAAACTCTTTTAAATCCTTTATCTGTATACATTTTTCCTAGTTAGTCTTTATTACATTCCAGATTACAACAGTTTTGTCTCATTATTTACTCATTTCTCCTAGAGTTCCATTACACGAAAATCTTATATAGCCTGAAATCTAATAATAGAAAGGTTCATTTTCAGTATTCATTATTTAGAAATTAAAAATTAACTTTCACTTTAGGACACCAGGATCCTCTTAAGACCTGTAGCCCACCCCTCATAAATTGTACAGTTAGCAACTAAAAGACAAATATATTTAGGTACAAATTTAGGTCGTTAGTAGATATGAATCATGTGACTGACTTATGTACTAAGGAAACTATCAAAAGTCAGTTCCTAAGGATATCTTCTCCATAATTCAATTCGAAAGAATTATGAACTGATCTCACTGGAGCCTCTGTGTGTGTGTCTGTGCGTGTGTGTGTGTGTGTGTGCATGTGTGTGTGCGTGCACTCGTGCTCACTGTATGCCCAACAGTCCTGTCTCTGTGACCAAGTCCTACCTTCTATGCCTAGAGACTCCACTTTAAAAAATAAACTTTTGAGGTATTTTGCTCTGGGAGAGGGTTCTGGGAAGACAAAGTGACAAAACTAAATGCAGTCAACCCTTTTTATGGAGCAGGGAGCAGACCACTAGAGACTTGGACTGACCACCTCCCTCCCAGGCTTAGCTCAGAAATCAGCCAGCAGTCAGGCCCAGACCTCCTTCAGAGGGAGGTATAGGAGCTAAGCTGTCCACAATTAGATTTGGATGAGTGCATGTACATGTGTGAGGGGAGGGAGTCTCTGGAATCCTAGCTCCAGAACTCTCTTTTACTCAGTAGGCACCAAGGAAATCCAGCTTCAAAACTTTGTTCCTTTCTTTTTCGTTATAGTTGGTGTTGATGGAGTAATATTGGTGGTAGTAAGCAGAATTACTCAGCTGGATCTAGCCTTACTAAAAAAGTTAAATCACCCTCACATAGTTACAATTTAACCAGAATTTTGTTTCCATAACCTTTTCCTGTTAGTAGATTAAACTAGAGGTATACATGTTAACATACACGTGCATAAAGGCAGTGACTTGCTCTTTAATAATACATTTTCCTTTTATGGTGCTGGGTACATGAAAACCAATGAGAATTATTTGACCCAAAAGAATTTGTAACAAATACTTAACTCTATACTTAACAGATATACTGGATACATATGTAAATTTCTAAACAATGGCAGGATTTTTCACACTACTGACATATTTTTGCTGCACACTCTTTGATAATGTCTGAGCATTTCATTAAAAGATATACTTAGTGAAGCTGGTGGATTGTCTAGGTCCAATTGATCAGTATAAAAGTGATAGATAATATAAGTCAGAATCACCTCTATCATAGATCTTAGTTTTTTTTTTTTTTCACTTTTGTGCCAAGTTAAGAGCATTGTTAGTGAATGGTATTATTGGAATTGGCCATTAGGAGTGGTGACTATGAATTCAAAGAATAATTGCTTGATCACAATATTCAGATTCATTAAGTTTCTAATCATCTCCTTTATAGGAGCTATTCAGGGATTTCTAATTAAATTTATGACCTTGTACCAAAATCACATCACGAAACTCTTTATGTTTACTCATATAAGCCTAGTTATTTTACTCTTAACATTTATTTTGCCATCATAGTATTTCTTTGGTACTCTAAAGAAAGATGACTTATTTAAGAAGTTAATTAATGCAAAATTTACTCCTATTATCTTCATATTTAATTAAGACTTCTTATATGTGTCATCACCTTAGCAAGGACTACAAGTATTCTTGAATGTCAGCCTCTTATCTAGTTCCCTCAGCTTTTAAACATAAGAAAGTGCCCAGACTCTTTATTCAGTATTTCAGATCTCCCTTCTTTCATGTCACAAAAGATAAATCCACACGGCTGCACTGACAACATCACAGCTTTGAAAATGCGTCCACCCGTTACCTTATAAATAGTTCAGTCACTTACTTTAATCTATCTTCCCCTGCCCATCACTCTAATGTCAAACTTACAAGTTTAAGAATGCACTTTTCTCAACATCTACTTTTAAAGAAAGAGTCCAAAAGTCTATTCACTTAACTAACACACACTGACAGCATTTGGACTGACAAGATGTCAATCAATAAGCATTCTCATCTAGGAATGTTTGATAGTGGTGCCCTGGTATTTTGTTTTGATGAACATTCAGTGCTAGCAGTGGTAAGGGTCCACTCATTCTAAGAGGTGTGTAGGTGAAAAGACTTGGGTGCTGAATTATCCATTTCACTTCTCTTTGTATTTTTAGAATTTCAGTACAGTCATCCTTAATCCATCATACCTTGTACATAGTTCTTGTAGTTCAACCCAGAAACTATATATATATATATATCCCATTTATTAGTTTCATTCATCCAAGCCAAGTTTTTCTGTCTTTAATATCAACCTTTCAGAGCTCATATTTTTTAGTTCATTACAGTTTAGAACAAAACTAAAATACAAGGAATACACAAAACACCTACTGATCAAAGCTTTTGGAGACTGGAAAGATTCTGGAGGTCATGGAATATACCTTGAAGGAAACTGATTTTGTTATCTATCTAGGATCTAGGACCCAGATTGAGAAGTCTTTGGATTGTCCTAAAGTTAATAGAAGATTCTCAAATGAGCTGAAGCAGGTACTAAAAAGTTGATTTGTGAATTTTATCATTTTACCAATTCCTCTCTTTTGAAGAAGTGCCTGCTCATGATCAGTGATTGCTGGTTGTGTATTTCTACAGGCTGTATATGAGAAATTTGTACCGAACACTCAACACCATCACTTTCTAAGAGTTACAGAATATTTAGCTTTACTTTCCAACACATAATTTCCTTTTCACTTGTGAGACTCCCCTGCTGCAAACCAGTGAGGAGATTGGGAGTCACTGTGTAGATTCTACTTACAAAATAGCTGTTTCAGCTAATGAATTGAATTTTCATTCTTCTGTCTCCCTGTGTGGAATTCTACCCCAATCATAACTCATTATGAAATCACCAACCTCCGGGATTAGAATTAAGATTTCTCAATACTAACATGAGAAGAAAGTTAGGTTTTACAGCTTTAAACTCACAAGTATCTTCTGGCTACATCATCATTATAAACCACTCAAGTGCAGTTATAAAAGCTTTTGCATTTAAAACTTCCATATTTCAAATCAACCGTCTATTCCAAAAGCCCACCAAAAAAAAGTCAATGTAATTTAACTTTTCTTTTAAACAATGGATGTATAGCTGAACATTTATCTATTAACATAGGAAAAAAAATATCATCTGTTGTACTCACATGGCACCGTGCGGAGGTAGAGGTTGTCACGAATGATTTGCTGCAGTTCGTGGTCCACAGAACCCTTCTGAAATCGTAAGTTGAGGTAGTGACGAAGATCCTTATCAACAATTCCTCCTAGAATAATAAAGCTTCTTAATAAAGGATGCTGGAGAATTTTTAAGCATGTTATTTGATTCTGTCATAAATAGACTCATGAACCTATTTAAAAGATGCATCATTTCACATTGCTCTTTTGACTTTCTGAAACATTTACTGCCCGTAATAAGAAAAGATAACACTCAAAGATAATAATTGTTCACCAGGTCTGTGCTCAGTGTTTTATCTGCATTCTTTATTTTTTATTTAGAATGAAGTCTGTGTTGTGGCAAAAGATACACATTACTCCTGAACTAATATTTAAATGTCATAACGTCATAGTATATCTCATTGCATGGCTAAAAAAGCCTTTTTTACTTCCCACTCTCCCTTTCCTCCAGACATTTTATGATTTTGACTACACTAGGTATCTTATATAAATGGAATCATGCACTATTTGCCGTTTCGTGACTGGCTTATTTCACTTAGCATGTCTTCAAAGTTTGGAAAAAAACTGAAAGTTATTTAAACTTACTCTGTATTTAGATAAGTACAGTGATATAAAATATTAAAAGATCTATACAGATATTAATGCTTTACTCTGTTTCTAAAATAAATCAAAGTAATTTTTATGTCATATAAAATATGTACAGATATTTTTAACTAGATACAAGGTTTGAAAGATTTAGGTACGTTTTATTATCATAATTATCATATTATTATTATAGAAATAATTTTGAGTTTATTTGCCATTATAATCTAATTAAAATAAACTGGGCTATAGGTGAGAAAATCAATTCTGTAAATCTATCCAAGATTAATTTCATTTCATATTTAAAGATAATTACATTAAGTTACAAAGATTTATCTACCTAAGGTCCTTCTTTTTATACTTGAAAGAATGAATTATAAATAAAAGTAGCTGTAAAAATAAAAATAAGAATTCCTAAAACCCTTATCTTTTCAAACACATTATGATAATTGGGCCAAGACAAACAGTTAAAGATACAGGAAATAGGACATCTGTAATAGTTACAAAAATCACATTCTCTTTAAATCCTTTGAACCTCAAAATCACAATACATCATCAATCTATTTGCACCACCAAGACCATGTAAAACAGCATTATGTGGTTGTACTTCTCTGCAACACAAACAACTTTAAAACAAATAGTAGTTAACATATTTGCAAAATACATATTGCTACATTTTTGAAGTTTCCAAATCTATTGCTTCTGTTGCCTCTAATCTGCTGGCACAGCCTTAGCAAGATGCCACACAAAACAGTATGGCATAACGGAACTAGCAAAATTCTTACTCTCCAACATTTCTCCATTTTTAGTCAATGGTGTCAATTTATTTTTCTATTCAACATAATACGATAACAAAAAACAAATGACATCAAAAGAAAACTTACTGCTTATTGAGTGCACATACATATTACAACCAGAATGCTTGCAGATATGATTTTCCAAATTCAAAATTATTATTTTTTTAGTCAAAGAAGCAGAGGAACAAGAAACAAAAGTCAGCTGAAATCACCATCACACATATCAATTACCTATTTTTTACATCTCCAAAGCCCTGTATTTCCATGGGTTGGACTTGCTGACATCATACAGAATCAGTTAAAAATTAGAAATCTTGAAATTCTGTAATTCTGTTTGGTCTTTCCCAGTCAGATCTTCTGACATGCCTACTCTCACTAATTGACTACAGCTGCAGAGCAAAAATGTGCCTCTTTTCAGCTGTCAGTTCTGCCGACTTCTGAGTCTACAGGAACTGTAGCCATCTCTCTTCTCTTTTTCTTTCTGTCCAATATGTGGGACATGCCAAGTGATGAGATGCTTTCTGGCAGCCCGAGAAAATGCTAACTATAGAACAACAGATGTAGTCTGTCCACTAAAGTAAGCTAGAATCACTCACCTAATGTAACATGGATAAGCTCACATTTTGTAGTCCAAGATGCTTCTTGTCCCTGAAAATACATTATCTATTTAAACTACTTCTACTACAAAAATACCACATTAGCCCTCTCAAAACTTTGATTACATATGAAAACAACAACAAAAAAGGTTATCTATTCATTCAATGACTGGCTATCTTTTTTACATGGAAAAACCTGCAGAAGCTTCTGAGAATTAATATAAAACTTCTCTCATTAATTACAATGAATTGTCATAAATGATCACATTTGTTTTGGAAGCTCTTTTTTTGGCCTCATATTTCACAAATACTTAATCATCCTTCACAATTTATCATAGCATCTTTCATGTAAGGCAATTTTATTTACCCACTATCCTTATTATGGCAAATTCTGCTGGTTGCCTACCCAATATTCTTTCCTCTATTATTTTCTATTTAAAAAACCTTGATTTAGTCTCAGGCCCAAACAGTCTCAGACCCAGGACAGGAAGGGCTTTCTTTACTCACTGAACTAGACTTGATATCTGATATCAAGACCCTTTTCATCCAGTCCTTCCTGGATAGACTCGGTATTCCTCTTTGGGACTTCCATGGCCCCTCTGCTCTCTATTAGACTAGATATTCTGACCACAAAGTGACATGCATAAAGAAAAAAATCATGCTGAGGATACTGGAGTAAAAGGTGGAAACAGCTGGGTCCCTGATGGCTTCACTGAGCAGCTAAAATAATACGAACAACTACATACCGTAAGATGTCTTGTTATAAGAGAAAAAGTAAATAATCATTCTCTGAAACGATTATGAGTTTCTGTTGTTTGCAATTTACATCATCCCAATCAATATACTGTGCACATAGAAATGTTTTACATATATGTATACATAATATGTGCATGTACACATTTAAAGGTATATTTCTCCTTAATTAGAAATTTCAATTAGAGAAGAATTAAGCAACAGATAGTGGGTAAGGGCTGAGTTAAAAAATAGAGCCTGGGTCTTAAGACTACCTGATTTCTGGTATATATGTTAACATTTTAAAGCAAGCTAAAAAATGAATTCTGCATACTGAGTGTTCAATAAATGTTATCTATGATTAAAATAAAGAAATATTCTGCAGTCTTATTTGCCATAGTTATAATTTTTGCTTTTATCAATACTGTTTGTAGAGTTTCTGTGTTGTCATTTGTTAATGATACCTAGATTTGGTAGCTTATAGAATACCTACATCAATTGTTCTGCCAAGCATAGCACTATCGAGTTCACCATGCAATGGCATGTCTTAGCCATTGTACTCTTCTTAAAAAAATTCAGTGGTTCTTGTTTACTATTATATTTTAATAATTACTGAGTTATTTCATTTAACTGTGATATGATTTTATTTCCTTTATTTTACAAAGTAAAACAATAGAATGAAAGATACAATACCTTTTCAACTTATACATT